GAACAAGTGGCGACGTCTAACAAGAACAGCGGACCCTGCGACGGCGCGGGACTAACGCTAGGGAGAAGAAGAAGAAGTTTCTTTTTCAAATCCAGAGCTTTCAATTTTCGGATTAGGAATGCTGGATTTCAGAGAAATTCTGGTTCATATTGTGAATCCGGTGAAATGGTTATTATGACAAAATGGCACAGGAAATTGGATTAGCGCCGAAGAAAGCAATGAGATTATTGACGACACAACCACTGGTGATTGACCGTGATCATGTAAAACAAAAGGTTTAAAAGTTCCCAGGAAAAACGTGGCAACACGGTCAAGTCTCATGAACCCTTCGTGGTTACTCTGTTCTCGTAGAAATTAAACAGGAATACGACGCATTTCGGCCACGAAAAAGGAAGCATCTTCCAGTTTGGTTGCTTCCTAGTTCCGGTTTGGTCTGAAGTCTCGCTCTGGTGAATTCTTGTAAGCTCATGAATTTACAAGAGTTTACAGGTGGTCTCTACAAATTCTGGTTGTTATTATTTCTTAGCTTCACAAGGATTCATCTCGCTTGATGGCTGGACACGTTGATCCTACTGTACAGGGGGGGGGCAAAAAAGACTTTTTTTCTTCCTTGACTTTTGAGGCGCTATAAGTTACATTTTATTCTACTAACATATTAAAGAGCATATAAAATACTACTCCGCCACAGCCTTCTGGAGGCGCCATCGAGAGATTCTGCCACGCGACCGCGATGTGGTGCCTGAGATCAGCGAGATCGTTGATTTCTCCGCCACTGTAGACCACCCTATTGAACTCCGCCCGAACCAGGTAATTGAGGGGGTTTAGGTCAGGTGACCTGCTTAGATATTCCACCTTCTTCAGGTACTCAACGCCCTTCCATTCCAAGTAGGCAAGAGTTTTCCCAACGCCCTTTGATTCCATGTGGTGTCACCCAATCCTGTAGCAGTACAAAGTTTCCAAGAAGGTACGGGCGACGACATGTGGAGAGGATATTCTTCTCGAGTTGCTCGATGTAACCGCCAGCGCTCACCTTCAGTCCGGGGTCCACGAAGAAAATATCGGTCTTTCCAGGTACGTCCGGTCCATACCATCAACCCGCGCCTTGGCGACTGTGGTGAAGATGATGTCCTTAGACCGTGGCCTGTTTGTCTGTCTGTCCGGAAATCCCCTGACGGGCGGAACGTTCGGCGAAGGTGAACGGTGCCGAGACAAAAACCCTCAAAACGCATCCGAAAAACCCACGAAATGGGGAGTAAGTGAAACTGAGCAATGGTTTGGCAGATGAAGTTAGTGAGGGATAACCGTAGGGAGTAAACCAAATGGTTGGGGGGAAGGGTGGTATATACAAGAAGTGAAACGGTAAAGTGCGGTAATTCTCAAAAACAATTTTTTTCGACCATTCGCCCGGCGAAGCCGGCCGATCCGACTGGTAATAAATAAAAAGTGCAAGGTCCCCCCCCCAACCGGCTGCCGATTTGTGCCCGAGAACGCTCCCACGGAAAACTTCTTCCACCGAGTCACTTTTTACTCACTCGCGAGGTCCAGGTTCGAGCGAACCGAAAAACTTCCACAGTCTTGCATCGAGATCTTCTAAGTGGGCTTAATAAATGAGGAAATAAGCCACAAATCCTGCTCCTGAAGCAAAAAGTTGCCTCACGATTCCACATGTCGAGCTCAAAGGGGACTCAGTCCTTCTGAAAATGAGATATTTCTTGATTCTTTGGTGTTCCTGCTTCTTGATCGATAAGCCAAGAGAGAGTTTGTAACATGTATAGCACATTTGCTTTAAGGAACTCTTGGAAAAATATCGAGCGCAGTTTGGCGATGGGGGGGGGCTTCTGAACTTTCGCTGCCTCCCATCGTGTTCATCGCATTACAAGAACCGAAATATATCTTTTACAAGAGCTGACAAGCATTTTCTACAAATTTCGACCGGTTTTACTTTATGGTTTCATGAAATTTCACAAATCTCTACTCGATGACTCGATACGGTAATGAAAAGCAGCGAAAATCCCCCACTTCCTCACCGTCGCCGAACTGCGTCAATCCATCGGTTAGTAGCACTGGACTGCGACTGCAAAGGTAGCACAACGGCGCGAGCAAAGTCTGAACGAGCCCTTAGATGCCGTATCACATGACCAGTTTTCAATGAGAAGAGTGCTGTAGTGTATGATTGTCACTGACGTCACAAGACACGTCACTTGCGTGTTAAGTGACGTCAATGAAAGGTGATCGACCTCCCATCAAGTAATGTGGTAGACCGTATGCCTGGCTACACCAACTCCGTCTTTCTTTTCTGCTTCATCTAGAAGGAAGAGCATAGGAAACTCCGCCCAGGACATCAGACCATCACCCCCTAGCGACTGATTTACTCGATGTGCTGCGTATGAGCACGTTGAGTTGATTCAAATAAACTGTTTTGCTCCACAATCACAAGTTACCATTATCTTAGGCACTTTTCCTAGTCCTCATTTTTTGAATTCACAGCAGAGGTGGAGTGGTGTACAGCGTAAGTGGCCTCGCCCACACACTCCAGAGGACAAATTTTGAACTGGCTCTCCCTCAAGCCAACCAAGGCTCTATCCCTCCAAGGTCGGTTGGCTGATACTAGATGGGCCGAATAGCTCTCAGAATACCACTACGGTCCCGAAAGAAAGTAACTATGGTTTTGTTTGCTGCCGATGAAGGAAAGTGTCAGTGAGGCTGGGTTTGGCGCGACGTCAGCCCGTTTCCCACCAGTTGTTGAAGAGGGTAAGGGGCAACAACAGATGCAAAACGACTGATATGAATGATATGATACAGTTTCGTCGCTTTTTGCAAAAAATAAAAAAGGTGGACTCGCGCCGCGGCAAATCCATCCCTCCCCTGACCCTCCCACCCATCATCAGCACCAAACAGTACCGTATTTAGCCTTTGTCATGGCATAGCTTTGAATAAAAAACCTGTGGCTGACAGATGTTTCAATAATGGCAGTGTTGTGACATGATCTGATCCTTTGCCTTCTCTGCCACCTCTTTGCCCGAGGTCTCCTCGAAGAAGGCCATTCACTCTCGTGACACGATTCGATAGCGCTGAGTATTCGCTTGGAATTCTGATAATTTCGTTTGCTGACTATCGCAGATATCATGACAAGCGCAAAAACCTGGCCAGGCAAATTGTGCTTGGAATGGTGTCACATCCTGGGGACTGACAGACATGACCTATTCGAAGGGGTCCAGCTAGAACCTAATGGTCTTTTTTGGGATCTTCAGCGGGTGCTTTCGATGCCAATTCGATGCACTCGATGCACAGATGATTTGTGTCCCTAGGCAACTCACTTTATTTAAATCCGCTGGGCATTCGGTAACCGAGTGAGCAATTGAGTTGAGAGCTACATACCCAATTTTGACTGCGTTCTGTATAAAGAGCTCTTCACTACTAGTATATTCATATATAAGCCGTAGCTGAGCTCTAAAGGTTCTCCAAGAGTGTGTCCCAGGATATGAGTCGGAGTGACAAAAAGGTTGAGATCCAACTCATAGATCAAAGCTCTAATGGCCGTTATGGCTGTTCCCATTGCCGTCATTTACGTCCTCGAGGGGAAGTCTTTGCCCTGTTACTTGCAACGGGCGCTCTTGCACTTTTGAGGGCATTGTTTTATGAGGGCGAAAAAATCCTTTGATGTCGTATTGTGTGTCCATGCCTATCTGCGCTAAGAAATGCGTCAAGGGTAAAGCTGTTAATATTGCTCGGAGGGTCTGGTAAAGAACTGCTATGAATAGTGGGAACGGAACTCTTAGCAAGGTTTGGCAGAAGGGAGATTTATTCAATCAATGATCGTTCAAAGATGGAGAGAAAACAGAGCATATCAGGTCCCTTTATCGGGCACGGTCAACACATTAGCAGGATTTCTAAGTCCCATGCGATTCACTCAATCATAGACTTGCAGCTACAAAGGTAGTGCCAAGAATGATAATTGGTGGTTCGATCCGGATCTTTACTATAGATTCCACAGCTTGCCTGAAGGGGGCACACCTCTCTATGGGGGCTTCTATCAACGAAGGGAGGAGATGGCTTTTTGAATGTGCGAGTAGGGTCTCCACAGTGACGTATGGGCGGAGCCAGACCTGCCACTGTATCCAGTGGCGGATGGCTCTTCTCTTAGAATGCGAAAAGGGAAAAGACAACGGTAGATTCAGTCCATCTGTCTTTCGTCCGTTCTAGTTAGCCTCCCACCCCGACCCGCTATGAGACTCAATGTTAGCCTACCATCACTTTCTGCTACTTTTATTCGCAACTCTTTCGTTTTTCTTACACCATGCCGGTCGATTTTTGCCCTTTCCGCATATATGAGAAGTTTTTTGGAGGCGGCCATCATTATTATAAGGGAATAGATGAGAATTTAAAATTCGATATTCCATTTTATCCCTAACAGTGTATGGGCGGGCACTGGGGCATTCTTTTACTTTTTGTGGGTCAACAATCCGTCTATAGAGAATCCATTACGTCAATTATTCTGCCCATTTCCAACCTTATGGTGAATTATGCAACGCTTTCGACTTTAATGGCTATTTCCTTAATGCCTTCTGTTTAGGCTTTTGCTCCTTCGAACTACTACCCGATACGATGCTTATAACCTTCGGCACATCAAAAGGTCCTCAAGGAAAACTGAGATTACTGTAATCCGAATAGGTTTACCGTACTTCTACTGGGTTATCCACATCGTGGCTTCTTATCTTCTGGCCCGGCGAAGGTTCTCATCTCTATTATGGTAATTCTAGTTTTTCACACCCCTCCAAATGCCCCTCCCCAAAGGTTATTAACGTCCCTGGCTGTATGAAGCTTTGAGACACATCCTATATAAGTCGTAGGTAAAAGAAGCCAAACGACACCTTAACGACCCTCACCAATGCCTAACTGCTTCTAGGCTCTTTTCCCTCTGTTTTGTGCGAATGGCATTTCTCCGATTCTCTAATTTCACAACATCTACAACTACGCTACAGCAATTCCAAGGAAAAGGGTCAAACTGACCGTTTGTAGCTGTGTGAAGCGTACGATTCTTGTCCGTAAGGCGTCATACGTCCGCTTACGACGCTGTGAGCAGGCGTCACGGGTCTCGAACTTCTGAAGTGCATTCATCCTTTGCAGATATTTCTCTATTTCCTAATGGGGTTTCGCCTTCCATCAAGCATTTTAATTGAATATAGGTCCCATGTCCATCCGGAAGGGGCAACCAGCGAGTTTTTTGCACTCGTACTCTTCTTTTTCATGCGCTGAATAGGAAGCACAATGCCAAGTGCACAGCGTTTATAAGTTTCCACCTATCCTGCTAGGGGAGAATGTCTCCATGATGTTCGAAAAAATGCTCGACACGAAAAGACGCCCAAGAGCTTAGTCCGATTAAGGCCTCCACTGATACGGTAGCTTTCGGTCTAAGTCGCTGCTGGTGCGCACAGTTTCACCAAAAAACCGCGTCGCCACGGCTTATCGTACCACAGCATCCTGAACTACCCAAAACCCGCCTGAATGGTCCAAAAGGTCTACTCGACCTCACATGGAAATTACTTCAGTACTTTGTATGTAGCCCACATGCTGTGCCCATCTGAGGGCGATGCGGGACGTCTTGGACGTGTGTCCCCATGCCAATTATCCTCCCTTATACATACGTCCCTGCTCACTTCGGCCTGGTCCCTCGCAGCCGTCGCAATTACGCCCCGCATTACCCTCAGATATGCTTGGCAGTTACCTGTTGATTGTGTCTCGTATTCGTTCAGCTTCTTCCAACGGTGTGAACACTGATTTGCCCATCATATAGTCTGACGGTTTTGCTCTGAAATCCGCTTCAGAAAGATTCCACATTTCAGGAAAAGGAAAAGGGCGGCAGTCACAGTCATTGCGTTGTCCCATCGACGATACCTCCCCCTTACCGCATTAGAGGGAGAGGCGCACTAATGAAAAGGACAGAGCCCGTCATGGGTCTCCGCCTTTGTCCGGCCCTTCGATTAACAAGGATTGTGGCGCTTCTTTCGTGGCAGGGCGAAAGCAGTGAGAGTGCTTTGAAGGCCACCCTGTTCAAATGCCCAGTCATTTGACACCCAGATTTTGAAATGCGTTTGGGCCACGGAAACACCTCCAGAGATTATTCCTGGAATAGCTCTGAAACGGCCACATGGGTAATCTACTTTATATCATCTCTAACCATAAGTGAGTGTACCACTGAAGGATAATAAACGGTGCCCGTTTGTCGCTGTTTCGAACCCTGGACGATCCGCAGAGCAAAGAAACTACAAGCCCTGTGCCGGAAAGCTATCTTTAGGGCTGACGGTGAATGGAAGAGGGATAAGCTACATAATGAGATCATGCCGCACTGACCCCGGTCTTCTAGGCCAAGCCCGACAGGGGAAGAGTTCCGATAGAAAGGCGCAGCAAATTCAACCCCGTCGCTGTCCCCGCCTCAGTAGCCCTAACCCTTTGGTTAAGTTTCTGGTTAAGGGCACAAAACAAAATCGCCTACCTGAACACATATTGCGCCTCGTTTTCATTAGCATCATCCAATCTGCTTACAACCTGCTCGAGTTTCCGCATTGTCGGACCGACGCTGCTGGCCCGATAGGGGGTGGCAGTGGCAGAGCGATCATAGCGACTTAAAACTAAGCACTTATCAGAATGCAATCGAATCAATAGAAAATAATTATGTTTCCAAAACTAGGATTGTGGGTGGGTGTTTAAAAACAGTGTAATACAGAGGGGGTACAGTGAGAGGTAACTGTGAGCTACCGTACCAATCCTTTTCTGTCCCTACTCCACCACTGATTAGTTCTAGGATGCCAAACGGCACTGCTATGTGAGTAAATCCTCTGATCGCTTTGAACCTCTCATGCATGGACTTACTCTTTCCTCAGCCGACCAGCACCCGCCCGCCGAAGAATCGCCCTACGAGTGTTGAGCAAGTATGAGGTCCACAACCGGGTGATTCATCTCCAGACCTCTCCATATCTACTTCTACTCCCTCCCTGGCTCAATCTCGTTGTTGCCAGTGGCTGGAATAGCGACTTCAGCGAAGCGACCGAATCATTCCACGTCTGAGGGATGTGTGTCAGGAGATCCGAATAACAGCGACGCGCAGGAAACAGCTCAGTGCGCGAGCATCCTCTTATTTGTCGGTTCTTTTTGCTGTCGAGTTTTCTCTCAAAATAGTTGTTCCTGGTGGGAATGGAACGCATTCGGCGCCCCTGCAAAGTCGCCCGCCACCGCAAGCCGACTCTCCCGGCTCATACTATTTTCTTTAGAATTTGTGAAATACGATATCTGCATACCAACAAACGAGAACAGGTTAATCTTTCATCAAACCTCTCATTCTCTTGCATTTTCCACTGCGTCATATCTGGGTGGCAGCTTTGGGTCATTTCACGTTGTACAGATGCCTCCCGTTCCAATCGCATCTTTTGGGTACCTGAAACGGCCCTTATCTGACGAATCACTTTCCCGAGATTGGTTATCTAATTCTTGAACGCCTTAGAACGCGTCATGACTTGCACAACTACTTCAAACCCGATCTATTTGTTTTTGTCTAATTTTAGTGCCAACGCCCACCGTCCTCTTTTACACACCCACTTGAAAAACAATCAGAAAAACAAGTTACAGAACTCACCGTGTAACTCGGCCATAACATCAGCCGGTAGTTTGCCAATGCCAGGTGGTTCCTTCTTGGTGGTGGCGGATTGCTGTGGAACATACTCCCATGGGTCCATCGTCGCGTCTTCCCTGCCATTTATGGTATCAATTCGAATTGGCCTATGCGGCGGTGGTGGAGGAGCTGGTGGAGGTGCATTCATTGGGTTCTCTTCTACATTAGGACTAAAATAGCACTTTAGCCTGCACCTATCCCAAAAGGAGCACCTTGAATGGTTAACTTAGCACCCACAAGCAAAGATATAACTTGGATTGGTACCTGGTCTCTCTATGAGTGGCATCGAGGCTGGTGTCGGTGAATCGATACGTCGATGGTCCAGGGGCTTCCTCGTGTTGCAAAGGTTGCTCCGCTGCGTACGTGGTCTGTCGGGGCATTGCCACGGGGGTGGCATTCTGTTGTAGACTGGCCTGTTCCGAGGTGTACATCTGCAGGCGTTCGGCAGGTGTTGGTTGCCGGCGTCTTACTGGTTCTGGCTCTGGTGCCACTGACGGCGGCATAGCTGTCTGCTCGGGCTGCAGCTCCTGCTTCTCCAGCGATTCTTCGGGAAGAAATTGTACTTTATTGAATGATGGTGATTCTTGAGCTTTGGCACTGAAGGGCTTCGGTGCTGATCGAGGCAACGGCTTCGATTTGACATTGGGCCAGAATATAGCCCTTATGACAGCCCATAAGTACTGCGCAACAGTCCTAAGGAATCTTGCCACCTTACAGGCAATATCATAGAGGAATCGCCCAACTCGTCTCGTATAAAGGACCACAACATCCTTTATCTTCCTGAACCACTCCGAAATCCTACTCCAGATGCGTTTCTTTGGGAAACCATTGGCTTCACCGGGTCTAAACGTGGAGGAAGGCTGGTTGGCTTTTTGAGAAGCAGCTTTCGAATGCGCCTGTTCGGTTTTTCTCGCCTCCACGCAGCAGTTTTTCAACGTCTCCACTGAGTATCGCTCACATTTCCAGTTCGGGTTCCCTCTGAAAAAAAGAAATTCCATTATGCTGGTGAATAAATGGTTTTTGGAATTACTGCACTTTCCAATGATTTCCTGACATACAGAAGACCTCAAGCCGGCGCCTTTCGAAGCGGTCATGGACTTTAAGACACACTCCACGAATTCCGAAAGATCGTTGAGTTTTCAGTCTTTTTGCAGTCCATTTTGAGCATTGGACGAGCAGGCGAAAAAGTGGGAAGCGATGAAATCCTGAGAGCGCTAGGGAGAACAGAGAATATGAATGAGTGAAATAAAAATGTTCCCACGGGAACCTCAACAGGTCGATCCGGCCATTTGCAATGAGACTTAAGCCACTGAATCTGAATCTGCCCTCGAAATTTGCGGAACGATTCTCTGAAGGGAGTTACGGACCATTTAATCTCTGCTCTGTTCGCACAAGTTGAGAACGATAACTAAATGTGACAAGTGGCGGATGGTGTAGTGGATAAGCGCACTGCTTCAGAGACACGAGGTCAGCAAAACTTGTTGGAATCCTTGACGGATTCCAACAAGTCTTGCTTTTGTTCAAAACACTTCATATGAGTCCCTAAAACGCTTCTGTTTGGCCAATTTACCTAGTTCTCTGATTTCCCTCAACGGATACGCCAGCTTCGGGCACAACATTACGACAGAACAAGAAAGCAACAACTGGCTGTTTTTCGTGCGGAATGCCACGTGTTGGTAGATCATAATCATGGGTGCTGACCATATCGGGTAATTTTGCACAGAACACGTGGACAGGATTTCGTTCAAAATTTGAAAAATTCATCACCGCTTTCTCTCTGGAGTGGTGGAGAACTGTAACGAGTACTTCTGGCACTATTCAACCATTACTACCCCAAAAAATCGGAACTTTTTTCGCTGAAACTTTGCCCACAGGGGTAGTTCGGTGTCCTGATCACGAATATAGCACTCTTTACGGCGTTGGCGCCAATTTGGCGCTGCCGCATTTCTCACCAAATTCGACGTAAAGTTGCATAGTAGGGTTATTTGATGTCCTGATCACGAATACCGCATTAGTTCTCAGCGATGGCGCCATTTGACGCCAATTTGACGCCGACGCCTGTGGCGGTTGGAGTGGCGGCCAGGCGGTTTCAGGTCGAGCGGATGTGATATCCGTGTTCAGGAGGTCGAATTACCCCTAGAACCCAACTTTCAGCCAAATCTGCCCCGTAGAAAAAAGTCGATCAAGATCCGGCCTGTTTCGGAAAATTGGGGTAGTAATAGTTGAATAGTGCCGTACTTTTGTATTCGCTGTGCTCATTGTGAGAGCTTGTTTTGTTTCCACCATTTCGTGGAGGAATACCACATGTGCTCTCAAACCATAAGATCTTCATTTCTTACTGCAAGCTTTAATAAACGGATATCCTCATAATAAAACTTCTTGAAAGGAAACAGAAAAGGCGAGTTGCTTGCTCCTGATGTCAAATAATTAAAGAACTAGGTAAATTGGCCAAACAGAAGTGTTTTAGGGACTCATATGAAGTGTTTTGAATAAAAGCAAAAATTTTCGAGAGTCAAGGAATCCAACATGCGACCTTGTGTCTCTGAAGCAGTGCGCTTATCCACTACGCCATCGGCCGCTTGCCGCATGCAGTTATCGTTCTCAACTTGTGCGAACAGAGCAGAGATTAAATGGTCCGTAACTCCCTTCAGAGAATCGTTCCGCAAATTCCGAGGGCAGATTTGGATTCAGCGGCTCAAGACACGTCCACATATATACATCTCATTGCAAATGGCCGGATCGACCTGTTGGGTTCCCTTGTCAGTCGCCTATGGCCCTCATGTTGGAGGTGCGCTACTACAGATGACGGCCTCAGCGTCTTTGCTACTCAGTTCTGAGCCGCCAAAAATAAAGTGCAACTACTGTGATTGCGGATTGTGTCTACACAACTGAAGGGTTTTACATACTACACTCTGGTTCGCTGCAGGCGTTGGGCGTGTCAGGCAGTATGAGTGTGTCACCCCGTCAAGCCGTTCTCTGCCTTCTTGTTGAAGCGCGCATGCGACAAAAAGTGGTAGAAAACGAGTAATACGAACGATATGATACAGTCATATCATTTGCTCGCTTTAACAACTGGTGGAGAACGGGTTTGGCATCGCGCCACCGCTATTCTGCCTAAGACGCTCAACCGTCCGCAGCGAACTACACTATAGTAGGTAATCGTACTTTGAAGGGAGTGTTCGGTCGGGGCTTCACGACCTCACTGTGCTCACTTTTTACTGTGAAAATACCTCCTCACATTCAGCGTGCTATAACGACTCAATAACCTGGCCTCGTGCTTTTGTTAGGGCTTCAAATGAAAAATGATGACCAGACCCACAAAATCCCTCGTTATGTTATGTGTATCGATCTTATACTGCGATACTCCCCCCCCCCCAGAGGCCTTCTCTCAAAGAAAGTTGCTGTTACACTTGACAATCCTTTTTCTGGAGACCCGGTGACTTAGGAAACGATAAAAACCTTAGATGGGGGTTCAAAAACGAAAGCGAAGTCAGTTACACACACATTGCCTGCGACAGCTGTGATCGAGTGCAGTGCACCTGTTCGGGCAGCTTAGACCCACACATCTACAACCACACCTAATTGACTTCTACGGTTATCTTTCCTACGAGTGAATAATTCAGGGATATGCAACGAAATTCCCGCCTCTAAATCAGGAAAAAGGAGTCATAAGCAAGTAAATTGTCGTGGTGATAAGGTAATATTTCCGTTTTGGGAGTATTATTAAAGTGCCCCTGTTACTTCAACCCTCTCTGACTTTCTACACTAAACTCACACTTTTCCCTGCCACTGCATCTGTTCTTTCTATAAACTTACACGGTACTTGAGGCGGTCGCTTGAATCAGTGAACATAGTGAAGATGGTCTTCATGAAACCTCCACCGCCTGGTACAAGGTTTTCCCAAACGATTTGCGAAATGGTCGGGACCAGTGGCGACATGGCACCCTGAGCCAGTGAGAAAATTTTTAAACTTCTGGAAAAACCCCACTCCCTGCTTTTTTCAACTTCACACCAATTTTTCGAAGGCTTTCAAAATTTCCCCGGCTAGTTCTCATCACAAACTGCCGTCGAGGGGGAAGCGCATGTGAAATGGAGAAAACCGCGAAAAGACAACGACAGAAGATTTTTGCAGCTCAAAAATTCCTCTGAAAAGCAAATACGACTCTCTCCGAACGACGGGCAAAAAAGCCCTCTCTCCGAACGACGGGCAAAAAAGCCCCCATCCCACCCAATTCAGGAATTCTACCGACGCTGCAGATAGCGCGTGGAACATGAAAATTTAGCTATGGAACGATTATAACCCCCTCTCTCCATCCACCAAATGGGAACTCTCCGTTGTGGAGTCCCCAGCCTAGGACGTGCTCTGATTGGCGATAACCACTCTCAATAATCCGTTAAAGTACTTCGTTTCTATAAAGTCCTTCAAATTCTACTTTCTTCTTCTTCTCCCTAGCGATCCCGCGCCGTCGCAGGGTCCGCTGTTCTTGTTCGCAACTTCTTTCGATTCTCTGGAATGGAGGGAGTCCACTGGCATCCTCTGCGACCAGCGGTGCTCAAGAACGCTCAAGGGCAAGGTGTACCAGGCGGGTAAGGCCTACAACGCTCTACGGTAGTGAGTGCTGGCCCATCTGCAAGGAAGCATGAAAAACAGTTCCACTCTACTGGAATGAGGATGGATCTGCGCTTGGACAAGACTAGATAGAGTCAGAAACGAGGACGTCAGGGCAGTCACACAGACGGCTCCGATCCAGCTGAAGGCACGAGAGCAGCGACTGCGATGTATGTGTACTGAGGAGGCCTTCTTCTTCTTCTTCTTCTTCTTCTTCTTCTTCTTCTTCTTCTTCTTCTTCTTCTTCTTCTTCTTCTTCTTCTTCTTCTTCTTCTTCTTCTTCTTCTTCTTCTTTTCTTCTTCTTCTTCTTCTTTCTTCTTCTTCTTTTCTTCTTCTTCTTCTTCTTCTTCTTCTTCTTCTTCTTCTTCTTCTTCTTCTTCTTCTTCTTCTTCTTCTTCTTCTTCTTCTTCTTCTTCTTCTTCTTCTTCTTCTTCTTCTTCTTCTTCTTCTTCTTCTTCTTCTTCTTCTTCTTTCTTCTTCTTCTTCTTCTTCTTCTTCTTCTTCTTCTTCTTCTTCTTCTTCTTCTTCTTCTTCTTCTTCTTCTTCTTCTTCTTCTTCTTCTTCTTCTTCTTCTTCTTCTTCTTCTTCTTCTTCTTCTTCTTCTTCTTCTTCTTCTTCTTCTTCTTCTTCTTTCTTCTTCTTCTTCTTCTTCTTCTTCTTCTTCTTCTTCTTCTTCTTCTTCTTCTTCTTCTTCTTCTTCTTCTTCTTCTTCTTCTTCTTCTTCTTCTTCTTCTTCTTCTTCTTCTTCTTCTTCTTCTTCTTCTTCTTCTTCTTCTTCTTCTTCTTCTTCTTCTTCTTCTTCTTCTTCTTCTTCTTCTTCTTCTTCTTCTTCTTCTTCTTCTTCTTCTTCTTCTTCTTCTTCTTCTTCTTCTTCTTCTTCTTCTTCTTCTTCTTCTTCTTCTTCTTCCGTCTCTGCTGTGAGTCCCGTCGCCGCTGTTCTTGCTAGACGTCGCCACTTAGTCCGATCCACTGCATCTTCTGCCGTGGCTTTCACTTCAGTGGGGTCCTTCTTGATGACGTCCCTCCATTTTTTCTTCGCGGCTCCTCGTGGTCGCTTGCCCTCTACTTCGTATTCCAAAGCCTTCCTTATTGGGTGGTCCTCAGGCCTTCTCAGCACGTGCCCATACCATCGCAGTCGCTGCTCCCGTGCCTTCAGGCTCCTTGTTGCTCCGGCGGTCGGACGTCGTCTGCTGTGGACCGCCCTGACGTCCTGTTTCTGACCTCTATCTAGTTTTGTCCAGCGCAGGGACCCTCCTCAATTCAGCTGACAATAGCCGATACATGCGTTTGGGCCTTTCCGCCACCCGGTATACCGTTAGGCAGCGTTCATACATCGCGACAGCAGCGGCGATCGCGGCGACCTTGGCGGTCACCGCGATCGTCGGTACATGGCAGAGCGAGCCCCAACGCTATCTGCTTTCGCTCGAGGCTTTTGCGGGAGAAGCGACTCAATTTAATCCTTTTTCCCTTTACCGTAAGTTCCT